AAAGTTCATTCTGCTTCAGAAGGAGTATTTTAGCCCTTTGTCACTGCACAAGGAAATATACAATACTTGTTATTTTTAGACAATTTAAAAGAACTGGAACAATCTGACTGGGAAAAGTCAAACTCTCACTGCTTCTATTTTAGTGCACTGTGTTTCTGTGGTTAGTCTTTTCCCTTGGGAAATAAAGTGAACGGTTGACATGTCTTATCTCTAAAGCCTAAAAGGTCAATTAAAAGAGAGATTATAGACTCTTGGAGTTCATCCAATTATCTCTGGTATCCAATAAACTTTAGCCTTGTGTCTATCTACAATAAGAGATAATGTCAATCATGCAACCAGATTAGAGAATATGAAAAATTAGTTGACTAGACATCAATAAAATAGTCTAGCTCTGTGCCAAGTGTCATCATGTTATTGCACGGGGACCATTTAATGAGCAACTGAAAGTGATTACAGCACCTGGAAATCCAGTCTAGTGGTACAATAATGTCTGAAACAATTGTGAAATTAGATTTATTAATGTATCATAAATTCCAAGAGAAACATTGTTCATTCAAAAGGAAAAACAGTAAATTTATGGATCACTGACAATGACTGACTATTTGTAGTCTGCCTATTAAAAACAAAGTGAATGACAGATCATTGCTAAAGCAGATCCATTGTGTGGGATTTTAAATGTGTTCAATACTTTTGTGATTCTGTCTACATCTTCCTTTTTTTGGAATGTGTTGTTGAATGCAAAAACCATGTTAACAAGGTTAAGATTCCGCTATCTCATTCTGATTGTATTGATTGGTATCTAAGGTCTGGCTAAGGGTCTACCCTACACACAGAGAGTTAAAGGAGGTTGAAAATGTACGCACTAGAAAAGGAGTAGGAAACCTTTAACACTCCACATGTTGTGGACCACATATCCCCTGATGCTTTGCAAGTGGACATTATAGAAGATCTAGTCCATAACATCTTGAGTGTCTGCACTAGAAGCCTTAAGGTCTGTTTGATATTTTTTTAAGTAATGAACACAGACAAAGTTCATACTATATTTACAACAATAACAGGAAACTATAACGAATAAGAAACAAAACATGCAAAAGAATGTTAGTTAACAAGAAAACCAACTTATCATATTTAATTAATTTCTCTTTACTAGAACCCACTCTTTTGTATACAGCACACTTTCCGTATTGATAACACAGACTTTCCATCTTTGATGTATGGCTATGTATATACATGTATATAGCAACATTTAGTCCTCCATGTTGTGATAAAAAATTGGATTCCCTAGGAGTTTCTGTGTCCCCATATTTTATTAATTAAAACAAAATGCTAAAGTTTTGTTTAAATTATATAACTTTACACTCTTGACTGTTATTCTTCTGTGTTACATAATCCCCTGCACACTGGTAAAATAAAATCAGGATGATTTGGATTATCTACATAGAAGCACTGTGAAAATTGCATGAATATATTAACCTGATGGTTTTGAAGATTCAATAATGTCAAAAACTATATGGTCAACATTAAAATCAAATGATTACAATCTTGTCCATCCACACATGAAAGCAGCCTGTGGTTGTAGATGTTCAAAAATATGTGCCTCTGCAGTAGGCTGAATATTGGGTCAAGACACACACATATATACACACACTCTCTCTCATATATAAATGTCACAATGTCCCTTTTTACCCAGTGATCGTTTTCCCTTTTTTCTATTTGCCTTTAATAGTATGTTTGCTGTACGTAGAGTGAAGTCACTTCCTAAACATTGGGTGAGTTCTCCATTATAAGATAATGAAATTATTAATGTAGTAACATTTTTAATAGTGAGATTAAAATGTAACATTATGTAATGCACAAAATCAAAGCTAAACCTACAGGAAATAATTAAAGACAATGTTAGATAAATTAATCTTTGCTGCTGCAGGCTCCCTCCCAATGTAATTATCACTGATAGAGAAGGCAGGAAACTAAACAGAAATAATACAAGGAAGCATTTTCTTCACCACCCATCCCTAGAACATCATCCACCAGTCATCCTTTCAAGTTCTGCTATCTTATTTTTCTATAAATGTATAAATTGCTGTACACTCTTCAAATATAAATAGACTATCTGTGTGTGTGTATATATATATATGGCATTTATATAAATTATAGTGACCACTATCTTACAAATATGCATTCAGCATATAGCCACAGGCCTGTAATTGTGGGAGGAGTTTTACCAATATATAACCTTAAAATGAATATCTTGTCACAATAAAAATTGTCACAAGTGCTGCAACCATTTAAGATCTTGGCAACAAATCCACATACATCTATACAAGGAGCAAAAAAAATATGCAAAAAAAACAGTGATATAAATAAGAAAATACAGGGAAAAAACACTTGCATAAATACAGTATCCCTATTGTGTACCATGAGATATTTGCATAAATATGTGACAATAAATAAATCTGTACTCTAAAAATAATAACTAACAAGAATAATAACCATAAATAGTGTTAAAAAAAAGATTTAAAACAAGAAGGTATAATACATGAAGACACTTGAAAAGCAATTATAAGACAGACTTACTGCAATATTGTAACATATGTCGACAAACAAACAAGCATTGAATGGACACTCACAAGTACCACTCCAGACAGGGAAGGATTAATCCCCTGTAAACATAGGATCCAATCCATGTGCAAGAAAGGACTCGCCACCAACAACCAGACCAGTTTTCATTGGTATCCCGAGTCATTAAAACCACAAAGTGTCCAAAGTATTACGTTGCCCTTTGCTTCGGGAGAGGGGGGGGGGAGTGGCCCGCTCTGTATACTCATTTACTCATTTACTCATCTGCTTTTCATGACCTCTAAGCATTTCGCCCCACCTCTCAAGGCTTTTTCATGCTGGAAACAAAATGTATGAATTAAGCGATACAAGAATAGAAGATGAGGGAAGGGAGAAGATAAAGCTTTTCCCAATGGACGAGTGTAGAAACTGTAGGAGGGGGACTTTTCACATGCCCATATCTAAATACTATTATCACATGACCGGTAGGGTTACATTTTCTAATTTTTTTCTTAATCAAAGGTGAAATTACATAGAGAGTGGGTGTTTAGTCGAGGATACTTTGACGATTCTTCACCTAGTGTTTGAGATTTTCTAGGTGATGCTTGGCCACGGGTACATGATGCGTCTTTTTTATGTTGCTCCTTTTTTACTTCTGTGGGAGGAGATGTTGATTTTCACTGGTGGAGACTCTTTCCCTACAAGTACTCTTTGCTGTTCCCAACAGTTCTCCATTCTTATTCCTTTTATATATATATATATATATATATATATATATTTATATATATATATCATTTTCTTTTCCCCTTTCAACATTCTCTAGCAAGGGATGATGCAACCTCACGTCCCTATATAGTGTGGAACACTACGTACCAACAGGCTTTTATTTTCCACTAATGCGAAATCTAAGAGCAGTTTCTATTCTAATCTCCATATTAGCTTTATCCACAAATCTGCCTGTCAGAACCCCCATGGTGGATTCTTGTTTGTAAAGGGGCAATAGCTGAACATGCCTATACTTTTGCTTCGATCTATGCACCCAATACAAGACAACATTGCTTACTGGGAAAGGTTATGAACAAAGTATAGAATTTTTGGGAAGGAATGCGGATAGTGAGAGGGGATTTAAATGCACAGAGACAGACACCTCCAGGGGGAGATGTTCTTTTTTTTTTTTCTCTCTTTTTATTGTTGAGGCATAAGAATTAACAGAATGGTCTTAAATACGTATGATACATGAGACATATACAGTGGTAACAATGTGATATTGTACATATTTTCATACAAATGCGGTCTAGCCTCTTTTTATGAGAGTGAGCTACAGGATTATTATGGCGTATGTGGCATGGTTATTTAGACGTAGAGTTAAACAATTGTGAGGTACATTCCACATTGCATCATCGCATGTTAAGCTATAGGTAAACACGGTAAATTAACAACTTAAGAAGAGACACATATTGTTAGGAGAGGACCCATCTAATATGTAGGCACTGTTGTATCCAATTATGGTCGTATGTTGCTGTGTATTTCAGGATGGGTGCCTTAGATTTCAAGATGTTTGATGCTTGTAGTCGGGGTGTGGGGTAAGTCCCTTTGACTGTTTGTGTCCAGGGGCTGCTTGCTGTGTGTCCCTGATGTTCTATGCAGGGAATTGGGTGTTTTGTATGGTCTCTCTTATGTGATTGGGCCCACATGTACCTGTTAAGGTGTTTCCAAGTTTGTTGGTACTATTTGTGTGGTGTCTAGGACATTTGTGGGGGTTGTAATTACCCGTAACCAAGGGTGTAGCGGTGGGGGGGGATGTCAAAGTATCTATCTGTGGTTTACTTATTTATGCATGGAGTACTTGCATGTTTGGCTCTGTGAGTTGGGCGGGGTCTACCCGAGACGGTCAGTAATGCTACCTCTGAGGGCCTGGATTTTATTCTGGCCTCCCCTAGTGTGAACATGAGACAACGAGTGGTTGAAAGAAAGAAAATAATAACAAATAAACATGAGCGTGTATAAACTGCACTACAGCTTTCGTTACTGCCATAGGTTTGGTTGACTTTGAGTCCTCGGCGGGTGCATTAGGTGGCGTCAGGAGACGGTATATCCTGTCCAGTGTGATTTTCCAGGCCACAGTCGGGGTCACGATAGTGGCCAGGAGTCTCCTTATATAGTGTCGCAGTTCGTCCGCCGTTATGTCACCTGGTATACCACTAATTTTAATGTGGGTGCGCCGTGTGCGATCTTCCTGGGTGGACATCTGCAGCGTGAGTGCTTGTTGCGCTGTGTGTAATTGGTGCGTATGATCCTTAATGTTGGACATACTGTTGTGGATGTCAATTATATCCTCCTCTGTCGCCCTGACTCGGTCTGTAACGTTTTGCACGTCAGCTTTGAGGATCCCTATATCTGCAGAGAGCATTTTCTGGAAGTCTCTTTTCGTTGCTAGTGAGTTGTCATCTGGTGTCACCAGTGATGGCAATTGGGTCTGGTCTGGGCTGATTGGGAGGATGGGCCCCCGCGTGGGGTGGTGATGGTGTGACTGGGGCCTCCGCGGTGGCCATCTTTGGTGGTGCCTGCCTCTGGAGCATAGCTCCAATGTCTGAATGCTCAGCTGAGGGACCTGGTTTTTGCGTGCGTCGCCCCATATTTACTGGAGTCTTGTTACCGGGGGAGGTAGGTCTCTTTGTTAATTCAGGGCCCCTCTGCTCAGGAGTCCCGCTGGGGAGGAAATCGAGGTCACGGTAGGCCGCTGGTAAGTAGGCCCGAGACTTGCGTTTCGGTCTCCCAGTCTTCGGGCTCTGGAAGAAAGGCATCTAATGATGCGGGTGAGAGTCCCGGTGCCGGTTCTAATAGTTTTAGGGCCAAATGGTGCGATGGTGTGGAGATATTTGTGGATTATTAGCAGCTGTCTCAGGAGTGAATGGATATGGCGTCCATTCAGCTCTGGCTCCGGCACCGGGAATATGTTCTTTTGACCCTCAGGTACAAACGCACAATTAGGAAAGTGCTTCGTGAGAGAGGGGTTGATGGACTGCTGGGGGAATGTAAAATATGGAGGGCAGAGATTACACTTTCTTTTCGCAAATCCATGCTTCATATAGTCATATGGATTTAATGTTTGTGGCCCAAAAGACCATACCCAATTTTGTTGACACAGACATAGGGCTTTCATGCTGGTCGCAACATGCTCCCATAGAGGTGAAGTTACATGCTCTGCTGTTTACCTTATGGAGAGATACTGTAGTTTTAACAAGACTTACCTACAAGAACCTGGCTTTTTGACTCAAACTCTCTTGGAGTTGGAAACCTATTGAAAGGATAATGCACAAATGTTTTATCAGAGGATATTTCATAAACATAGGTGCCATTTGTAATCGGGAGAATCAAATGGTTACTAGACAGGATCCAGCATCTTGAAAAAAAACATAAACAGCGGGTGGCTGATGAGATCTTGTAGTGGCTCGTAGGTGGTTGAACAACCTAATCTAACAATAACACTGTACTTTTTGAACGAACCTAGAGTGCTGATCGCAGCCCTCTAGAAGCAGACTGCTGCACCCAGTTTAGACCAATATTTCTAACGTTAAATGAAAAAAAAACTATAGTTGCGATAAATGTCTTTAGTTGTAATAGTTTTTATGCCATATATTTGAAAATGATAATAATGTTACTATTACATAATCAACACAAACCAGTGACATCTTCCAGATGCTATAAAATCACATTGCAAAAAGCATGTTATTTTTATTGCAAAATATGGTGTTGGTTTTTAAATGAACTAATTTCTGGCTCTTCTTCAAGACTTGATTATTGCATTCTTAAGTACAATACATTGGATAAGAAGTCCATATCTGTTTCAATCCAATTTACTTTGGCCGTACACCTAATGAATAGTATGTCAAGTTACCTATTCAGTTGTTTAATACAAGAATGTGTTGTCTTGTGTAAAGGCACGTACCTGTTATTTTGCCATAAGAAAACCTGTTGCTGTTATTTCTATTTTTAATGGAATCATAAATGTTAAACAGTAGTTATTGCGACTAAAGAAGAAAAAATATGTAGATATCAATGCTTGTTGCTAGTAGGTTTAATTGGCCGTTAAAACTTTTTTCTGTGATTTTAATTGTTTTACGTTCTCTTCCTCTATATTTTATTAAAAAGCTAAATAATGTTGATTAAATGAAAGTCATGACGGGATTTTCAAGAAGAACATCACACAATGAAAGCTTAGAAAATATGTAGAAGGAAACACAGATCGCGTAAGGCCGATTAAGGCAGATCGCTTAAAGCAATCTATTAATGTTTACAGTCATCACACAAACTGAGAGCAATAGGGGGAAAATCATTTATTAAAGGGTGCAATGTTTTGTGTGTAAAGAAAAATAATCTATTTATCATTTATTTTCATTTTTGAGCATTTGGAATAATCATGTACTGTAGCTACAAGAATATGTTCCATTTCACATTGTGTCCATGTGAAGCTTCTGGTTGTAAGGTTTTGGAGTGGGGATATTATTTATGAAATAAGAGTTTTCCAGATATCTGGCATTGTCTTTTCTGCCATTTCCATATGAGGAACATCACATGCTGCAACTGGCAATAAGTGAGCTGAACATGTGCACTGTCCAAAGAAGGGTCAAGTGTGATGGTAAAAACCCATATGCATTAGTATAATATATAGCTTGTTATTGAAAAACATACTAAAGTCATCTGCTAGTTGGTCTTTCAATGTTCGCTTTAATTCTTAGAAACTGCATGCTGACAGCTCATTCATATTAAAATAATATAACAAAATTATTCCAAGTTGTTCAAACAGTGGTTGCACTGGCGATCATGTCTCGAACAAATCAATTGCATGTTGGAAAGAAGTGAAGGTTTGAAGCTGTAGTAGAACCTAGATACTGCAGGTGCTTGTGTCTAAATGCATTACTGGATATGCAATGCACAAACATGTGAAGTTCCTTTTTGGCCAACATATCTTGCACTCCACATGTCCCATGCCTACTGTTAAAAGAGAAGGAAGCACTGAGCTAGATAAATGAGAGATGGACAATTATGGGAAAACAAGACTGTTGCGTTAAGGAACTGAACCCGTTAAGGACACAACTTCTGAAATAAAAGGCAATCATGACGGAATATTTCCATCATGTGTCCAAATAATTTTGTTATTAAATAACTTTTTTTTCTTTTAGACCATGACTTTACATTAGTTCTTCACGAATCTGAACAGTTATAACAAATACACAATGTTATTTCATCTTTGGAGACATTTGTGAATACTACAGAATAATTATGTTATACAAAAAAAAATACGAGGATGCTATCTTTGAAATAAAAGAGAAAAGTTAAATAAAATTGAATGAAATCTCCATCAACACATATTTTCCTGTAATTATTAGTGGTGAGTGATAACATTTCAGGGTGGAGTATCTCTAAATATTTACGAAAAGTTGAACATGTTGTTGAAATGCAGTGGGAAAATAAAATAGATAGGATATTGTTTATTTATTTTTTTCAGTAACAATCTCTCTTTTTAATTGTTTTAGTGTAATGGCCAACATTTATTTCACTGAACAAGAATCTCATTTGGCACGTCTAGCTTTCCAGTGCAGTGTTATATTCTGGCATATAAAATATACTGAAAATATTTTAACAGCTCTTAGTGTATTGGTTAGCTTCCAATGTATACTATAGACATGCTTGTAAATAATGTAACAACCAAGGACATTGGTTTCAATGATAATTTTCAAAGCAAAAGAGACAGATGTCAGATGCCTAAAGATGCAGTGAATAATTTTCCTTCCTAGCTATGTTAGGAGACAGTGCGGATTAGTATGAAAAGGAGTATACTTCAATTAATTTAATTTAAAGGAACTGTGGTTTATTCACATTTTTGGTAAACGGTAGGTCATTTAAATGTTATAACTCTAAATTGCTATAAGACAAAATTACAGAACAATCAAAATGGACAATGAACGAACAGTTTAAAACAGTTTAACGCCAAAGTTCTTTTGACAGAGCTTGTTAGCCAGTACATGGTGAGTGGCTTTCGGTAACAGCAGATAGTAACTCCATGCCACTACATGTGAAAGCCTGCTGTCAGTTAATGTATATATTTGATTGTGAGACCAGAGAAGAAATTATTAGTTGTGGCGAAACCAACCTTGCCACTGGGCATTGGAGAAGCCTGTTTGTCCGCCTCCTGCCTGCTGACTATGCCCCCTGGGAGATTTGGCCCTTTCAATACAGTATTTGGGCATATTGTATTTTATTATGCTGCTGCTGGCACTTTAAGAACCATCTGGGTGCATACTGTGACTTTTGGGAACAATGCCCCTTTAAGACGGTGTCCCCAGTGTCCCCAGACTTATTTGGGACAATGCTCCTTTAAAACTTTGTCCCCGTGTCCCCAGACTGTTAATATACTGTGTTCCTGGCTTTCTCCCACTTGGTTCAGTAAATGGGGCTTACTGAACCAAGTACCACACAGGCGGACCACCCAGAAGTGGAAGTGTGCAGGCAATTTACCTCCCAGGCTGGGAGCCCGCTGTAGGTAAATTGCCGACCGCTGGGGGGCCGCCGTTCGTACAAACGAACACGTGGCGGCGGCCATCTTTAATTCAGCTGAAGTTTTACCTTCTCCAGACTTCAATGCATTCGACAGTTCGAACGCCGTTCGACAGTTCATTCTTCAGTTCGACAATTCGAATGGTTGTCGTTTGTCTGTTTGAGCTGACTTTAACATGGGAAATAGACCGACCGCACAGCCTGATTCTCTGGAACTGTTTTGGGCAGGAAAATGTGCTTGCAGTCGGTCAAAGGTGACTTATATCTATCTCCCGAACGGCTGAACGGATTCGAATGATTTTTGGGTATGTTTGTATTTGAAATATGCTGATTAATAATATGTGAATATGTGACTTAATGTTGGATGTATAGTTTTAGAGTTATGAAAGTTGGGTTAAAAGTATGTTTTAAACTGTGCAGCTAATTGTGTTACCTCTCAGGCTAAGGAGAGGAGATGTGTGGGATGTAACCAGTGTGTGATTGGGTAATTCATAATTGTCTGTGGGCGTCTCCCTTGCACGGGAGAATTGCATAAAAGCAGAGTGTGTGTCATTAAAAACCTGAGTTCTACTTCACCCTCAATTTGGAGAGCTGTCTCTTATTGGGGTAATCTGCTACAAGGGATTTCTATGCTTGTCATACTCCCTTGCTAAATCACTACTAAGCTCTTGTAAGAGCTTGTTCCTGCCTTGCTCTCTGGAGGAGTCTACGGTGGTTATAGTGTCGGCTGGAGTGCTTGGAGCCGTCAGGAAGGGCTAGGAGCATCCTTCAATGGAGGTACCCAGTCGGGGTGCAAGGTGATCCATTACATTAGTAAATTAGCAATTCTCCCAATATATACATTTGGCAGCATTTTTTTCCAACACAATGTATACATTTTAAATCTTTCCTCTATAAATATAACTTTATTTATGTATACCATAACATAACATTTACACTTTAACCCTGCCTCCTCTGTCCCACTTCCGTCATCCTAAAACAATTCTGTGCCTAGATATATGATGTTGCAGCTCCATAAGCCCACCAACAAAGTTGCAGATGTCATAATTATTCACCAAAAAAAGGGTTTTGGTGGTTATTTAGCTAATAGCTAACATAAGCAGAAAGATGGGAACTGAACTGCAAATTAACAAAAACCTTGCTCTGGCAATCAAAGCTATGTGGAAATAGCTTTTGAATGTGCTAGGCAGATCTTCTTCAGTTTGGAGATATTTGAATTCTAGACAGACAGTTTGGAAGTCAAATA